TACTATGTAGAAATAAACGGGGTTTCGTACTGCTTGAAATATGATTACTAACGTACCCACCAAACAATCGATCTTCGAATAAATAAAAAAAGATGCTTCAGCGGTTCTAGACACAGGGATTACGCAGATAGAAAAGTGTTTATTGAAGCTGTCGGCGTTTCTAGGGGCATACTGTTACTAAAGACGACCACTGCAACTTGCCTGAAATCGGCAACCTCAGTAGAAACTTTATGTCTGTCCATTTCTCATATCTATGAAATTACTGATGCATCATTTTCATTGCAATTCAGGAAAAGACAAAATTGAAATGAGTTTCATAAATCGTTAATATCCATAAAATTTGCTTCTTCGTTGGATATTTGTTGTTCGTCCTTGAAGAAGGCCAAGAGCAATAGCACGTCATTAGAAGTGTTTCAAGGAAACCCTTTCGCCTTGCATCCAAAAACAATTGAAGAGATATGGTAAATTTCACGCCGTTGATTCAAGTTGTATTTCTAAAACTGTTGTTTTGCTTCGTTAGAAGTCAAACGGCTATAATATCTGCAATAGCTACGCAAATACATACATAAAATATGCAGAAAAATTGGGCAATTTTTTAGCTCTTTGGTTCTAATCCGTCCAAAACCGAATCTTGCGGCGTTTCGTACCACCCATTTGCTCAAACATTCAAAAACTAAGGAAATAAGAAAGTATTCGATGACTGTTTGGGCGTCACTTTCCCTTACGCTTTCACGGACGAACGCCTTTTGTGGTAATGTCCACCATTCTTGGTGCAGCGCTGATATCCGGCTCAGGACTCTGATCTTATCAACCAGCTGATATTCAGCTTGATGCAGGCTTCCTTTTCTTTGCTACGAAAAGCGGTGGTAGAAAAGAGTGATAGACGAATTATCCGGAATGAGACTTGAATCCATGAACTGTTAGTCCAATGCTCTCCGACTAAACACTCCCGGTCGAGGACAACGTCAGATCGATCAGAATAACCCCAACAGAAGCGTTGACAATCATGGCTCAATGGTACAGGGCCAAAGAGATCGGCTCGAACTCCAGAGGTGTTCAGTTCGATTCCGGCATCGGAGATATGTTTGTTTCAACGACGAATTGCCTTGAACAAGAATTTACCTCGCACTGCTTCAGACCGAGGTTGCTCGGTCTCGCGGTACTGCGTTGGACTAAAATCCGAGGGGTTCTGAACTGGATCCTCTATCGAGGACACTCACAGTCTGAGGTTGATAAATGGACCCTTCGTTGCAAGTAAACAGAAAACGACACACGACCTTAGCCACATTACTGCAGTCGACTCTGTCGTTAAATAAGCCAGTACTGCTTGTTGCATGAAAACCGAGATCAGCGCCCCACAATTAACTCCATGGAAAATAAAAACTGCCGGAAATGGTCCAATCAAGAAAGTGCAAGGAAATGCAACATTCCAACGGAAAAATTTTTATTACTTTTTTAATGACAGTTGGAAGCATGAACTGTAATGTAGGGCTGCGCGAACGATGAAAATAATTAAAACTGAATACACTAAATATTAATCAAAAACTTTTATCATGGAACATTATCATGGTGATCGTTGCTAAGCATCACCATCTGTAGGATAATTGCTAGTCAAATTGCTTTACATAACTAACCAATCCTTTGTGGCGACAGTCTCATAATGGAGTCGATGGAACCGATTAGGTGTCTTAAAATTCATTACAGAGACAATTTCCGTTGCCAGCTCATTAAAGAGCTACCGTTTAAATTTATTAACTGGGTTTAATACATTTTCGATTTCATTCTTCATTGCCATATCGCATCTATATTCATATCAATTACTGATAAATGATCAATTGACGGAGACATGTGATAGGTGGCAAGAAAGTTGCAGACAGCAATCAATGTGAGGCATCTATTCCATTTAATACTGAAATGCTTTATGCAATTATCATCATTAAGACTGTTATAGAGGTTAGGAGGGAAACAATTTTTTCTTGCCTCAAGGCATTTTTATTTCGCTCAATATTTTCTAGCTGTTCATTTGCCGTTGACTGCTACTCGATTCGATGTTTGTATTTTTTGGCTGTTTGGACCAGAGATTAACCTCTCCGTAACGAGCACTGCCGTCAGGCGACTGCTTATGATGATGGCGAAGAATTCGAAAAAAGTACTCAGGATACAAATGATCACAAGTTTGGCTTTTTGCTATCCTTCTGGCGCCTCTAAGGGATACGGAGAGGTGATAGACCTTTAAATACGTAGATTATCAGTAAAAAATAAGCAATCGGGAAAAGGCAGCAATGAGACCGTCAGAACGTGGTCATGTTCAAGACCGAGAAGTTCGATCCTTAGAGAAAGACTCACAGTCCTCAATGATTATGTCACGTCGAGGCCAACGTGGCCATTTCTTTGAAGAAATGAGGCCGCCAACGTCGCTGCTGTCTTGCGGTCACGCGTCGGTTCTTCAAGGGCTATAACAGGCAACGTAGATGAAAACCCGGGCAGACATGGGGTTACTCGTCTGCACAAAGTTTCCACGGCTATGGCAAAACCCCATTCACTATGACAACGCGAAGAGATGAATTTCACTACCCTGCATGTCTCTTGACGGGGCCCACGGCTGTGGTGATGTATACATTCGACGTTAGGCCGCTAAGAATTCCAGGTGAAAGGCCGCCAACTGGTAAATGGAGCCAAAATTCCTCCCGTTTGCACCAGCAACTGTAGAACGATGCCAGGGGAAGAAACATTTAGCCAACTAATGGAAGAAGGATCATGAATACGGAGGAAACGGCGGCAGAATAACATCTAGAAAGACAGTAGTTGGAGTCGGCAAGGAGGCGGAGACAGCGCAATGAAAATGGGAGGACTCGAACGTGCATTCAGCATAAGCTGGTCTCCCAAAATCATCTCCTGATATGACAAAGACTGGGCGTGCCATGTTTCTGACTGAACAAGAAAAGGACCTTTGAGACCGATCAATTCTATGCTCCCACAGGTGCAGCTGAGGAGGAAGTGGAAGAACTCTACCAAGACCTGGAATAGCCATTGCCAAAATATACATGTATATTCTCATCATGCGACACTTTAAAGCCAAGGCAAGACGAGGAAGGAACAGTAAAAAACTTATGACACCAGAGAGCAAACTGAACGAAGAGATTGGCTGGTGACCGTGATAGAAATGAAAATTTAGTATACCACTACTAGATGGAGGTGAACCGCGCCCAAAGCAACGATGGTGAACGAGATTGACTTTGTCCTGTTTAATAAACGCCGCATCATCCTAGAAATGACAGTATTACCATCATTTGATACTGTCACATGCCAGCGTTAGGTCAGGTGAGGATGTAAGATCAGGCAGAGCGAAAGGAAGGTTTACGAAAGAGACAAAGAGTTTGCTAGAGAAGTGGAGGAGGATGAAGAGACGTGGGACCAACACGGCGGAGTGCTCTTTCCTCTGCGAGCTCATCAATGGAAGCTAAAAGAGGACTGCGAGACCTACCGATGGCGAAAATTTGAAAAGACAGCCGAAGATCATAGAAGCTTCAGATAATGCAGGGAGGTTAGCTGTTCATCAGTCTACCACTGCGGCACTGAAGAACGATAATGAAGCGTTAATGTCTGACAGTGGGGAAATGCTGTCTGTCTGTACGAACGTTTGCGTCATGCTACGTTTCTCCCTCTTCCTCTGTATCAACTGCCAGAAGAAGGTGCCCTCCTGGTCCTCACAAGCAAAACGAAAGTACCCTCATTAGCATGCATCGCAGCGAATGAAAGACCAAGGGAAAAACGTGTCTGACAATTGAAAGTATGAGGTCAGAGTATGTGGTCAGATGCCGCTTGTATATTTTGTACATTACTCTCTTGTTTCTCATGAACTTAATCCATGGTAGCTTGTTTTCATCTTATTGACCCACAAAGTAAATAACACAGAATTGAAAGAAAGGCTGTAATTGACTCATGAAATTGATTTTCTTACCGGCATATATGTTTGGGCAAATAAGTAACACCCATTGCTTCTGCGGACTCAAACAACAAGAAATACAATCGTCCT